ACTAGTGAAAATTCTTATTTTTTTTACAGCATAAGCTGCAGAACTTAGTCTGCTTGCCAGCTTAAATGTATGAGGGCTCGATTACGAGTGATGCCAAGAAAAACAGTGGAATCAACAGAGCTTAGTTCTTTCCCATTTAACAATACTTTGGTATTCAGATTTTAACGTTGGGTGTTGTAAAATTTATACATTTAGTTTTATTGTTGTATAAATGTAGCTTATTAACGTTAAACCAATTCACAAATTTTGATATATAAGTTCCATTATTCACTTTATATAGGGTTAAGGTGCCTAAGATGAGGTTCCTAAAGTGAGGTAGTTCAGTATTTGAAAGTTTATTTACTTGTTGTGAGCGTCAGTGGTACTGGTATCGTTTGGTCTGTCATTTAGTCGTGTTCAAACGTGCAATTTAGGCACGGGCAAATAGGCGAGAAAATATACTATCACCTCGAGTTTTGTCGGGAACGGATATGATATTTTTTCGAAAATAAGTACATTTAGATTAAATATAGATTTGTGATAACTGTTAAAGAGTGAATTCTAATATTTCATTTTATTGTGTTTATTACATACTAGCTGTTCCCCGCGACTTCGCCCGCGTGTAATTTAGGGTTTTAATTATGTTGCGCTACCCTAATTCTTTTTCAAAAATATAAGTATATTTTAGAAAAAGAAATATAAGTTACTCCTTATAACATCAGCCATCTGACAGTGAAAGTCCCGTCGAAATCGGTCCAGCCGTTTCGGAGATTAGCCGGAACAAACAGGCAGACAGACAGACAGACGGACAGACAGACAAAATTTTTAAAAATTGTGTTTTTGTTATAAGTACCGTATATACTTTCATATGCATTTAGTAAAAAGCTGGTATTTTGACATTACAAACAGACGCTCCAATTTTATTTATTTGTATAGATAACAAACATGACATTTTATTATGTTGGGTTTATAGGGAGTTCCTTATATGAGATATACCTTGTTACACGATAACCCCGGACATGTTTTGACCAACAAAACATAAGGTTTTTCCATACTGCATGCATTTATGGGCATGCAAAAGCAATTACTAATGTATGATGTTTGGCAAAGCTTACGAAAAATCAGCAACTAATGTAAACTCTGTTAATGGTTTCAGAAAAATGGCTGAGTAAATATTTTTAATATAAATAAACGCTGATTGTTACTCTAACGTATAATTAAACTCTATAAAATTATATTAATTAATTGTATTGTTCATTTAAATGAACTCCATTAATTAATTTGTATCCCTTTTTTAACATGTTGCGCGTACGTAGCAGTGTGAGATTTGAGATAGTTTAAAATGTGGAAGAGGAGTGCAAAAAGCTAAAATTTATATATCTGTTACAAATACTTAAAATAAAATAAAACAAAACATTCATTGTTTACTGTCGTAATGTGAAACATATAATTGCCGCTTGTACAAATTATCTCATTTGTTGACGGTAATGCTGGCAATATCTCAGAGTAAGTACAAACATATTATGTACTAGCTTTTTACCCGCGGCTTCGCTCGCGTGAGCATGAATTTGTAACATTATTAAATGCTGTTCCGTGCCAAATTTAGCAAAATTCGATCAAGTTTAGTCCCCTCGGTGTCTGTGTCTTAATATCTGTCGAAGATATTTTATAAATTCTAAAAGACTGTTAGACGTAGGTGATTGGTATTTGATATAGATATAATATGCTATAGGAACACATGAATATATATGTCTAGAAACACCTACCGTAAAATGGGGTGAATAGACACAACTTTCAACTTCTACACTGTATTTCTTACATATATTGTGTATAATCTGATAATAATACACTTTAATGTTGTGAGTTTTGTAAACGAGTAAAAACATGCAATTTCGTTGTCTTTTAGAAAAAAGTAATCCGTTTCTATATACTGGGAATCCGGGGTTAATAGATACGGCATAGGGGTGAATAGAGAAAAAATGCTAGGGTTGTCAAATTTGCTTTTGTTGTAGTAGTTGTATACATCTTGTGAGCTTGTGAATCAAATGAAAGAAAACATAACTACATCAAAATTGTCATTATAAAAAATAATTAGTTAACAAATCTGATATTTATACAATTCCATATTATATAAATTAAAAATATCAGAGTAATGTAATGTAACTGCTTTGCAGCGTAAGCATTTCCGACATAAAGCCATTAGATAAATAACCACTGCTTACACAGTTTTGAACATATATTTTAAGTAATGAAAATAAAAATAAAATGTTTCAAAGTTTGTTAAACTATATAACACTAATTATAATACTACGTGTTTTGACCTTTGGTTATTTTAAGTTGTAGGTAACAAGACGAGATTAAAAATCACTATTACTTATTTATAAAATTATGTACGCACTAAACATAAATGTAAATTGACATAATATCGGGACTTGAATCGAAAAAAAATCCACTCGAAAAACGAATCCACTCTTCAGTTTTGAGTTTGTTGTTGGTGGCGTTAGTAGTTTTGGTGGTAATTATTTTGCTACCTTCTATTAGGTCAAGCAAAAACTTTGACTCTTCTTTTGTAAGAGGTTTACCTTTTACCTAGTAAAAGAAAATTACAATGATTAACAACAATGATACAAATAAGGCGGGAATGGTAAGCGTCATTATGAAAACGCGCACAACTTACCTTACAACGTTAATAGATAAAACAATATGTACTTACGATTTCTGAATCCATTATATTATAATTTCTAATTTATATATAACAAGAAGATAATATTTTTTAATGTTTGCTACACGGAAATAAATAAAATCGCAACTCGCAATGGAATCAAAATGTGTCAAATTCAAATCAAATGCAAGACGCCTACGTCACACGTTCCATTTAAACGAAATAATGTCATTGTTTTAATACCAAAACTAGACTGTGAAATTATACTTTTTGTAAATTTTTAGGCATAATATTAATTGTACTAACAACAAACATTATTTTGAAACATTTTTTTAGTAGTTATGTGAATGATTTGTTTTAAAAAAAAACACTTAATAAAGTTTTATGGAATCGATATTTTATATCAAAAGGAACGGTCAAGAGGGAAGGGATTGCTAGTAATCTGTCGTCGAAAAAAAATTGGAATTGCCGAGTTGAGTTATTGGCACGCGGATTGGAGACCAATCCAACGATATATCGCAATCCAAGACTGCGGTCAATCTTGGATACGAGATACGTTATTAATTTCGGGCGATAGTCCAACGGATTAGTAAGCTGAAGTGGCAATGGGCCGGCCACATAGCTCGAAGAACCGACAACCGATGGGGAAGAAAGGTTCTCGAGTATTAGCCTCGTACCGGCGGACGAAGTGTAGGGCGTCCCCCACTAGATGGAGTGAAGACATGGTAAGACATGCAGGAAGTTAATGGATGCAGGTGGCTCAGGGCCGTGTTTTGTGGCATTCCTTGGGGGAGGCCTTTGTTCAGCAGTGGACTTGTGAAGGGCTGTAATGATGATAAATAAGACATAAAGTGAAGTCAATTCTGTTATAAGTTCTGTTTCTGTTAAAAAATACGCTATCAGCGCGGCTAGCGGTGAAAAACGATTTAATTATATCGTCATGTGACTATATCATGAAATAGCAACGTTGTGTTTAGTTATTAATATCTTCAAACGATTTCTATTCAATTATTTGGTCAAGCTAGATCATGACATGGTCAACAAACAGTGTTAATTATCATGAAATGACTGCACCATTTCAAGAAATGATATACTTCGAGTACTTTATGATATATGATCAATTCTACGATCTGGACACGACATATATATAAAAATCTCTTTAATAAAACTATAATGATAATGAAAATTTTGCAATAATTGTAGACAGACCAGTTTTGGTCATTTTACATATAGATTAGTAATTGAAATAAAAACCTTATCAATTTTCAAATTTTTGATAGACGTCACTATTATCTAAATTGATAATACTAAATTATTATGTACACTTTTAAAATAAAATAACAAAAATACTGAAAAACGTATTTTTGTTATTTTACTACGTTAGAATTTTTAAATAATTTTAAAAATCAACTTATTTAAACATAATAAATGTAAGTTATTTATATTAATTAACTTTTATTAATTTATTAATAATAACTGCAAGCAAAACACGAGTATAATACTTTTTCCATTTGATGATAGATGGCGCTATTTTGATAACTAAACCGGTGTAGTTTCAAATTATTTTACCAAGGCTATAACTATATCTTAAGGTTTATTTATAAATCTGGTATTTATTTGAAAAACATGAAAAACACTCGTAATCCCGCCTATAACTAAGATATAATAGAAAATTAATATCTAAAGGAAGGAAAATACTTAACCTTCGTTTTGTAAAGTTCCGTAATCGGATAAAAAGTACCCTATAAGTTGCCCCGAGTTACTAACTACATACAAAATTTCATGTAAATCGGTCCAGTAGTTTATGCGTGAATCCGGAATACACAGACAGACAGACAGACAAATTTGGCCTCAGAACCCTTTATTTAGTCCTGAAATTCTTGAAGATATTCTTGAAAAAACAAGTCCAGGTTTTTTCAAGAATATCTTAGACTTACAGACACGACTGCAGATTTATTATATGTATAGATATTATTAAGGCTACGAGTATGTATATTAGGCCAAAGATCAAAGTTTAAAAAAGCTTTAGCAGAGGTACAAAGTTTTTTTCTACACGTATTAATGTAAGATATGAAAACTTTAGAATAGATAATATATACTGGTTAGATTCGTATCTATTCTATCCATATAAGCACGTTTATATATAGTGTTTGCAATAGCTGTTTTATTATGCGCAAAAGATGGTTAGAAAAAAATTTTGGGATGTTTTACACAAATTTTATTCTCAAATTGCGCGGTGGACGAAATAATTTTGAGAAGCTGTGCGCCCTCTGTTTTAATAGCAATTTATTTTTACTACATTTGTTGGAAGGGAGTTAAGATAATTTATATAAAAATAATTATCGTTTAGAAAATAAACTTACTTTAATTGTTTTTGTGTAATTTCAGGAACGATGCATTCTGTTTTTGGTATCTTAGATTCTTCATTCTCTTGATCTATACTATTTTTCATAACGGAAGAGGTCTCTCCAATGCTCTGCGTTTTTTGTAAAATATTATTAGATATTACATGCTCAACAACTTCTTTTAGTGAAGATACATTTTTTGGCGTCGACAAATTTTCATCATTTTGGTCTATGATATCATTCACTTTTTGCGGTTCGTCTGTGAAAGTTACAAAGTCTTATAGTACCAAAAAAAATTACTTACTATTTTAATTTCATTTAAGCCCGTTTAAGATTCTTAATTCATATTTACGTATCAAAAAAAATCCATATAAATATTAGATACTATTATAAAACCGTTCCCAGGCATATCTACATATTGCATATTTTAATTGCATTATGCTTCTTTACATACATACATAAACACTCGCGCCTGTCACCAAAAGGCTAAGGCGGACTACGGACTTCCATTTGGCACGATCCTGATACACTTCTCACGCCTCCTTTACATCCATTAATCTACGCATACATGCTCGTCGGTTAGGGGTAGGTACTACAAATCTGACCCATTTTTAATATATCGCCAATTTAGTCGATAAACCTTCGTCTAAGGCGTCCCTTCCCAACTCATACGACCGTTCCGACTCACCGTTCATACATACATACATATAATCACGCCTCTTTCCCGTAGGAGTAGGCAGAGACCACTTCTTTCCACTTGCTACGATCCTTACATACTTGTTTCGCTTCGTCTACTTTCATTATTCCCTTCATACATGCTCTACGGTTTAGGGTACTCTTGACCTGGCCTTTTTTCAAGACGTCCCTGATTTGGTCTTGAAATGTCCGCCTAGGTCTACCCCTTCCAACACTTTCATTCACACTCGCCTTATACACTTTTTTCGTCAATCGTTCTTCATTCACTCTCTCGACATGGCCAAACCATCTCAGCATACCTTTCTCAATTTTTGTCACTACATCTTCTTTCAGACCACAAAGTTTCCTTATCTCACTATTTCTTATCCTGTCACTCAGTTTAACTCCTATCATACTTCCTAACGCTCTCATCTCAACTGCATTTATTCTGCTTTCATGTTTCTTCTGCCATACCCAACTTTCACTTCCGTACATGAGTGTCGGAACCAACACCCCCTCATGTACTGCCAAACGAGCCTTGTTAGACACCTTCAGACTGCTCATAAAGAAGTGTAAAGCTCCATTCACCATGTTTCCTGCATTCACTCTTCTTTCGATATCACTCTCACACTTTCCATCTCTTGTAAACTTTGAACCCAGATTTTTTTTTTATAGGAGAGGGTGCAAACGAGCATGCGGCTCACCTGATGGTAAGTGACTACCGCCGCCCATGAACAACTACAACACCAGGGGAATCGCAGATGCGTTGCCGGCCTTTTAAAAAGGAGTACGCTCTTTTCTTGAAGGTCCCTAAGTCGTATCGGTCAAACACAAACTCTTTCACCTATTCAATTTGTTCATCTCCAATCACGATATTGCAGTCTGTCACTGCCTCATCTCTTTCAAACACCATCACTTTCGTCTTCCTTACATTCATCTTCATTCCCTTTCTAACAAAAGCTCCACTCATAGCAGTTACCATCTCCTGCAATTCCTCGACCGAAGACGCAAGTAATACCTGGTCATCAGCATAGAGAAAACATTTGACGAGTAACTCATTTATTCTCAACCCACTTTCATTCTCTTTTAAATCTGTCAAACAATTGTCCATGAACAGATTAAACAGCCACGGTGACGCTACACATCCCTGTCTAACACCTTTTTCGATATTAAACCATTCAGTGTATGCACAGTTTATCCTTACTCAAGCACTAGAATCCCTATAAAGAGATTGCAATGCTCGTATGAGGATACTGCTCACACCGTTCACGGACAGTGCTGACCACAATTCATTCCTCACCACTCTATCATAGGCCTTTTCTAAATCCAAGAACGCGCAATAAACCTTCTTGTTTTTAGCCAAACACTTTTCAGCTAATCACCGCAAGGATAAGACCTGATCCGTACATCCCATTTCCTTTCTAAATCCCGCTTGTGTATCCCATAATTTTTCGTCTGTTTCATTCAAATCAACATTTTCGCATACAATTTACCGACGACGCTGAGAAGACTTATGCCGCGGTAATTTATGCAGTTCTGACGTGACCCTTTTCCCTTATACAATGGCACGATTACGGCTTTGCACTAATCTCCCGGTACTTGCCCATTTCGCTAGCAGAAATTGCAAAGGCGGTACAGCTGACTAGCCACTATGCCCTGTACAGCCCTCAGCATCTCGACGGTAATCCTGTCATACCCTGCAGCCTTACCTAATCTCATACTTTTCAACGCTTTCACTATTTCATCCATGCTTATCTCACTTTCATCAACATTTATATTAGTTTCCATGGAAGGTGCCGGTTGCTGTACCTGCACTTCCTCTCTTTCAAACAAACTTTCAAAATAATCTTTCCATCTCTTTAACACACATTTTTCTCCTTTAATAATGCTTCCATCTTGACTCCTGATTGTACTCAGCTCCGATGTAGAAGTTTTTCCTCTGGCTGTTTTGATAGATTTCCAGAAAAACTTAATGTTTGACTGGAAATCTTCAGTGAGCCTCCTATCGAAATCATCTTTCGTTCTTCTTTTTTTCTAGACACAACTTCTTTCGCTGCTGTTTTCAATCTTGTATACCTCGTTCTTGCTTCCTTTATCTCATCATCCGTTGCTTTTTGAATTTTTTGGTTAGCTTTTGTTGCTAACCAATCCAACCACGCTTTCTTCTTTTCTTGCACAACCCTTTATACACCTTTATCCATCCACACGTTATAGTACTTTCTTCCTTTCCTTCTTTTAACTACCCTGCATACCTCAATAGCAACATTCACGACGCCTTTCTTAAATGTCTCCCACAAATCTTCAATCACACCTATCTCTTCTATGCCTTTAAAACTTTCTTTCAGTTTACCATTCTGTCTACCGTTCACATCTGCAATATAGATTTGCTTTGTCACTATTGCTTTGTCATTCTTTCTACATGATCAAACCACTGAAGCATGCCTTTCTTAATCCTGGTCACATCTTGCAAACCACACTTTTCTTATATCACACAATTTCTCAACCTGTCATTCAAATTCAGCCCCAACACATCTCCTTAATGATCGAATTTCTGCAGCATTTATTCTACTCTCGTGCTTCTGCCACACCCAACTTTCACTACCATAAATTAAAGTAAGGACTAACAGCATTATGATTTGCTTCTTTATACATATAAAATCCAAAACACGTTACTTAAATTTTTGTCTATCTGTCCTTTTGAACGCAATAGCCTCTGAAACTGAGTTATGGCTTACTTATATATCCCATCCATCACCTATCAATAAGTTTTGAGATGCTCGAAATTTAAAAATGGAACGCACCCGTGTTACATGTTTCTAAAAAGCAAATTTATTTAAAAATAGTACTCCATAAGCCAATTGCTCAATATTAAGAAAACACAAAGTTTTATTAATTTTCCTGCAACGCTTCCCGCGCTTTTCATTTAAAACGATGATGATTTGAACGATCTGATCCGTGAACATTTGCGCGCTGTGATATATTATGATTTTAAATTTTGTTTAATCGAACAATTATATTTACAACGGTTACAATCAGCATTAGAGGACTCATCTCCATAACGCGCAACAATTTTTAGGTGGTTTGCTGAATTCAAAAGGGGTAAAATTAATCTTAAAGATGACCAAAGAACTGAGGCCCCGAAACAGCAGTAACGGCATAAAATGTATGGACTACTGAAATGTTGGTGCGAGAAGGCCCAGGAATCACATATGCGGACATTGGAAAAATTGTAGGCATTAGTTCGGGGAGCATTCATACCATCCTACATCAACATCTTAGAGTGACGAAACTTTGTTGTCGAAAGATCCCTTGTTTGCTCTCCGAAAGCGAAAAACAGACTCGTGTGGTATGGTGCCCTTAAATGCGTCTACGTTTTGAAGACGGGGCATCTAGGCGTGCTTCAGAAATTGTTACTGGTGACGAGACATGGATCTATCAATATGATCCGGAAAATAAAAGGCAATCATCGGTATGGGTCTACTCAGAAGAACAGTTACCGTCAAAACTGCAAAGACCTCGCAACGTCGGCAAAAAAATGGTTGCTAATTTTTTTTCGTAGAACGGACATTTGTCGACGTCAAGGCTGGAAAATTGTAGGTCAGTCAACTCTTAATGGTATACTACAGTACAGTGCATTACCCAAAGCTTTTCAAGCTGTGCGGAAGAGAAGACCAAAGAACGGGCTTCGGGGAATCATGCTGCATTACGATAACGCCTCTTCACATACCTCCCATAGAACAAAAGCATTTATTGAGGAATCTGGTGTTCAAACTCTAAGTCACCCACCCTACAGCCCTGACTTAGCTCCTTGTGATTTCTTTTTGTTCCCAAGAGTCGAAGAAAAAATAAAAGGCAAGTTTTTTTTTCAAGCGTCGAAGAAGCCGTGGCTGCCTACGAAGAAACAATTTCCGACCTGTCAGATCAAGACTGGCAAAAGTGTTTTCAGAGTTGGTTTAGGCGAATGGAACTTTGTATAGAGCATGATGGAGAATATTTTGAAAAGATGTAAAATAAATATTAATACTTAGTATCTAGAATACTTTTTTATATCTCAAAACTTATTGAGTGACCTACGTATAACTTTTAAATTTGCAATGGAGTTATGACATAGTGCAATATTAAAATAAAAAGTAATCAATAAGTGTAGAAACTAGACACTGAGTGACGAAAGTACAGCAGGGCGGGGTATTACTTTTTATGAAATTAAATCCAATTTAGTACTTAAAATAAAAAAAAAAAGGACATCTACACTTAAACTAATTAGCAGAAAGTACTAAGCACGCCCCGCCGAATGCTCTCCACTCAGACCTGAACCTTTCATATTTGTACCTTGGATAATATTCGGATTGGAAGATACTTTAAAACAATTATTTCTATCTAATAGTGGCTTATGCATATTATCACATGTAGGAATCACATTTTCTGTTTTTATTACATCTTCTTTTTTCTCCACAGTTACTACATTATCTTCTTTCATATCATTTTTGTCGTTGTATTCTGAATGTTGTATAGTTCCATCTGTAAACACATATACATAATATAACATATCGAAAACAAGAATAAAGAAACAAGAAACAAAAATTTTTTACAATAATCATTGAAGTAATATGTAGGTACTATGTGAGTACATTACACTTCAATTCAATAATCATAACGGTGCGTTGTACGTTACATTTAAGTACAAGTTCAGGTTAAGTAAAATAGGAACAAACAACAAAGCCATAAATCTAATTATTTTATATGCGTGGAGGAGATTGAATAAAATTAAGCATCGACTTACCCTTAACATTGACCTCGAAACCATTTAACACGCCTAGCACTATAGGTCATGCGTAATGTTTTCATGTAAGTAATGAAACAACAAAGCGTAGGTATACCTAATGGGCAGTTATTAAAAGAATTAAAAACTATAAAAAGTGCAAATAGTGTTTGATACAAAATATTTTGCTAAACTAAGGTTTTATAACGAAGAATCACATATGTTGAGCAATCGTGTACATCAGTGATTGTTGCTGTGATGTCACCTGTAGAATTCGCATGAACTTCGGCCACGTTTGGAACGCTGCTGGTACAGCCCATGATAGGTGAAATTTAAACTTAAAAGGTGCTCATTTTTATCTTATTAGTATATCACAGACCGCTTATAAGGTTTAAATTTTGACCGCAAGACGAACACTTTGACCAACCGAAACTAACTCTTCTACTCGACTGGGCGCTCCACCGACTGGGCGCTCCACAAGATCGTATCGTGCTTGCCTATTATGGAAGGAGGGAGTCCACACAAATGACCTCGTACCCCCGCCATTTCTTTTTTAAATTAAACGGGTGTAAAACATTCCATTACTTTGACGCAATTATTGTTCATTAAAAATGCTTTCCTTGAAGTAAGCGTTCTTTTTGCAGTTATATTTATTTGATATTATTCTAATCCTTGACTTTTTAAAAGCGCTATTGAATTAAAGGACACGTTATTACATATAGTGTTTTTTATATGTATTACTATTCTAATTAACTTGATCATATCAGGTTTTTACCATTAATATTAACGTTTTGTTTAGGAATATTCAACCAATTTTAATGCAAAATATTAAATTTAAATTATCAGATGTATCAGAAAATATTGCAAAGCGCATTTGCAATTTGATGGTTAAGTCCATTAATGCTATTGCTATAAAATTAGAGCTTGTCTAATATACAATTCTACTAGCTGACCAGGCAGACGTTGTTCTGAACTTTCCGACGACCGTTTGCTTTCCTAAAAAAATACTCTTGAGATTAGCAATAAAAAAATTGACGGTCACCTATCGGGATAAAAACTATCCTATCTCTCAAGCTGGACCAAACTGCACACAGTGTGGAAAATTTCATTGAAATCAATTCAGTAGTTTAAGAGTTCATCGCGGACAAACAATGTGACACGTAATTTTTATATATTATAAAGATTATTCTATGCTATCTTTAATACCACCTATGTAACGACGAAAAATTTTCTCTTTTCTATTGAATATCGAATGCCTAATTTGACGTTTGCGGCTTACTAGCGCTAATAATTATATTTGTTAAACTTCTTATGAATTTAAGTACTTCCTTGGTGATAGAATAGCTATTAGACCTATATGATATATGTATAATATATTATGTATTTTTAAAAGGTAACGAATTGACTTTTCAAGTAGTAAAGCTAAGGTAATTTTAGCTTCTAAAAGTCGTTGTTTTGACTACCGACCTAATGTCTCTCCGTTGCCATCCAATGTTCTATAAAAAAACTGTAGCCATCCTGGAGTATCAGTCTACCACAGACTAAAAACAGTACTTGCGTACAGTCTACGTCAGGCAAGGAACAAGTAATCAACCAGATAACTTGGTCTTGCTGTTGGTTTGCATATCCAATCTATTTTGTTGTTATCATTTATTTTATTATTTTCTTGTAACTGCGTGATGTGTTGCATAAGGTATTTAGGATAACATAGATTCGTTACTGAGAAATATTCTTTTCTTTAAATTGGAAGATGATTTCTAACACACTCAAAAGTTTTATCACAAAGAGGTCCTTTTCTTGGACTACCAGTATTGTGCTACTCTTTTCGGCAATAAGACCGATAAAAGCTTTTAAAAAATTTACTTCGCAAATATCCGCGTTTTAAAATAAAATGTTCGCCTCTACACGAGGCATCCTCAGGTGATATAGACTCTACGATGGCTAGTGAGTGGCGACAACGATACTATTATTACTTTTTAATATCTCTAACTGTTCCAGCACACACAGCCGCAGCCCTTTATTACACGTATGTAAGACTTTAAAGGAGTGGTCGTTGGCTAGGTTGTGTCCAGTGTTCAAAAGATGTTTGGCAAAATGGGATTTATCGGGATTGCAATTCCCGTACGCGGCTAAATGCTCTTTATAACCTGTTTCGAAATTGCGACCAGTCTGACCCACGTAAACGGCGTGTCATTCGTCACAAACAAGTTTGTAAACACCTGACTTTTGACGAATATCCAACTTATCTTTATGCCTAAGTATGTCAAACTGCTCAAATATCGATGAACACTTTGAGGTTGAACCGCGTACAAAGAGTTGCGAACAACATGCTTTTGTTTTTTTCTAATTAAATTGTTAATGAGGTCTTTGAAAAACTGGATTGTGGTGTCGGGTATAGTGCACGCAATTGAGGGAGGGCGGGAGGTGCTCTTCATACTAGGTAAGACACGTCATTTTATTTCATAACGCGGATATTTGCGAATTAAATTTTTAAAAGCTTATATATAATGGATTTCCGCAAAGTAACGCCTGATTCTATTAATTATATTAAAAAGGCTAGCACGGCCGACCAGGCAAGACTCTATGTCAAATCTACAAAACTCCATCGTATTGCTGCCCAAAATGTTTGGTTCAATCAGCAGTGCAAACAACTTCATGTTATCAATTATATTCAAATACGTTCCGGCACAAATAGCCGAGCGGCCAGTATTGCTATTTCTAAAGATCAGAACATTTGGCTTAATGAGGGGTGTCGTCGTTGGTTTTCCAATAGAGATAATTTAAAAATCCACCTTAAAGTATTATACTCTGAACTTTCATATAAATTACATAATATTGAATTTGATATTTTGGATGGGAAAGCCAGAGAACTTGGTTCAATGGCTGTTTATAAGAAATATAAAACTCAGCCCGTAAATTACAACAACTTGTATCCTCTTCATTCCGTAATCGTAATAACGACATACATACAGAATATCACCAATTTTATCCCCGAGTTAAAAATCTTTCCGATGTCCAGTTTCCAACGGATGAGTTGTCCATTTTACATAAAGGCCTAAAGTATAATTTAACACCTTCGGTCTCCCAAAAATCGTTAGAGACTATGGCTGTTGACGCGGAGATGGCTGTTGTGATCGGGAGGAAAGGTAACATCGTTAAAAGTTTGGTAGCTAATGAAATTCGGGCTGTGCCCGCGTCTTCCCATTTCAATCCTGAGTTCCCCGTTTTTAAGTCCCTAAAGCAGAGAATAAGGGAAAACGACCTTATTGTTAATAAAGCCGATAAAGGCAGTACTGTTGTTATTAAGGAGAGTAGTGGGTACAGCCAGAAAGTTAACGATGTTATCCAAGGTGATGACTTTGAGCTATTGGAGTCTGACCCAACCAAAAAGTTTACTTCCGATATTAAGTTATGTATACAACAGTCATCATATGTTTTCCCGATCACAACTTGTCTCGGAGCAGTCTTGTTTCAATGAATCCTCAAGCACCCATTTTATATGGATTACCAAAAATACATAAAGAACATGTTCCTATTCGTCCAGTTGTCTCATATATAGGTGCACCAGCTTATTTCCTTCCTAAAAAATTAAACTCCCGAGAGAAATCTGGATTTAACCCCACTTACAGCCTAAAAAATGGCTTAGATCTCATTTCCAAAATTAAAGATATTCGTATTCCTCCTAAATCGATATTGTTATCTTTAGACGTTGATAGTCTTTTCACAAATGTCTCATGCCCTGTTGTTTTATACTCGCAGATCTCTTTGATAAACGTTATCTACATCCCGGGGAAACAAATGATCTTCTTAACTTAACCTCTCTTTGTATGAAACGAAACTATTTCCGGTTTAATAACCGTTTCTATATACAAAAAGAAGGGTTAGCTATGGGGTCCCCTCTAAGTCTCTTTATGGCGGCCATTTTCATGGATAATTTCGAAAAACAACATATAGTTGTTAATCAAAATATCTTATATTACTATCGATATGTAGACGACATATTTATTTGCTGGACTGGCACAAGGAGACAATAGGATGTTTTCCTCAATAAAATAAATAGAGTCCATGACAAAATTAAATTTAAACTTGAATTGGAACAAGATTGTTCCCTTAATTTTCTCGACTTAACAATAACAAAAAAAGAATCGTCACATGTTTTCCAAAGTTATCGAATGCCAACTCACACCGGTACGGTCATCCCCGCGTCATCGTGTCATCCGTGGCAACATAAAGTAGCCGCTTTTTATTGTTACATTAACCGTTTGTTCACTGTCCCATTAAGTAAAGAAAATTATTTAAAAGAACTTAATATGATTTATCAAATAGCGGTCTCTAACGGTTTTTCAAAAAATCTCATTAACAATTTAATTAAAAAGACACAAAAGCATGTTGTTCGCAACTCTTTGTACCCGGTTCAACCTCAAAGTGTTCATCGATATGTGAGCAGTTAGACCTACTTAGGCCCCATATCTGAAAAAGTAGCTAACACTCTCCGACAAAACGGTGTTTATGTTGCGTTCAAAACAAACAATTCTCTTAGAAATATCTGTAATAATAAAGATAAGTTGGATATTCGTCAAAAGTCAGGTGTTTACAAACTTGTTTGTGACGAATGCCATGCCGTTTACGTGGGTCAGACTGATCGCAATTTCGAAACAGGTTATAAAGAGCATTTAGCCGCGTACGGGAATTGCAATCCCGATAAATACCATTTTGCCAAACAACTTTTGAACACTGGACATAACCTAGCCAACGACCACTCCTTTAAAGTCTTACATACGTGTAATAAAGGGCTGCGGCTGTGTGTACTGGAACAGTTAGAGATATTAAAAAGTAATAATAGTACCGTTACACTGCTGAATGAACAAACAAATGTTACTAACTCACCTCTCTGAAATATCTTTAAGCCTGCTCTCTAATAATAGAGAGCCTCGCAATATGGTCGTTTGTCACCCTCACGATGATCGGCGATTGGTTGCGTGGTTGGAGGGTAGGCGGGCGTTGCGCGGCGGTTTGTTTTTAATTTTACAAACGGCTGCGTAAGTCTGGCGGTGATTGGTCGCATGTTTTATCGCATGACGCAGTCGCTCGCTCCTTAAGTAGAGAGCGGTTGCGTCAGCGGTCTGTATAAATAGCAGTTGTTTTGGCTCGCCGCTCACTTAGCGGTTAGCCACCGTAAAGTCTATATCACCTGAGGATGTCTCGTGTAGAGGCGAAACACGTGTCGTTTTGTCGTCAGTGGTGTGTCTTGCCTAGTGTAGTGGTGTTGGGAGTAGCGGTGCTGGGATTAGTGGTGACGGGGAAAGTGCACGCAATTGAG